CACTGACTGTCAAGTGGTCACGTTTATCACTTCTAAACTCAAACCAAGGAGCCCTGGTCATGCGACAGTCAAGAACTCAGCTGCTAACCAAAAGGCTGGTGGTTCAAGCTCATCCAGCAACTCTATGGGAGACAGACCTTAAAGTTTATCTTCCTCAAAGATTATGGCCTAGAAAATCCTATGAGGGTAGTTCTACTCCGTCACATGGGGTCATTATTGGTTGAAAATCGACTCAACAGCACACAACCACAAACTTAAACCCTCTCTTTTACTGTTTTTTTTTTTTTCTTTTTCTTCTGAATAGATTCATATGTATCAAAAAGCTAAGAAGATTTAAAATTCCTTGAAGGTAGGGGATTTTTTTTTCTTTCATCTCTCTCCCTAGTAGCATAGTTAATAACTTGCTAGCAAATACATGTGTTTTTTTTTAATCTCAAATGTTTTAAGTTTCCTTCATTCATTTAGTGTACTCTACAGAAGTGGACTAAGAAATCTTATTCCCATACCACATTTATAAAATGTATCCTTTTAATTTATTCACAAAGAGCTGACTCCTCTCTTCTCAGTGAAGTCTTTCCTGGCCACCAAATCTAAAATTTCCAACACCACTGCTAACTCCACATCTCATCTCCCTCCCTTTCTTATTTTTTTCCTCTATAAAACTGATCTTTATCTAATATAGTATACATTTTAATTACTTTATCTTGTTTCTTGTCATCTCTCTTACCACAAAGGTAAGCTCCACACGGGCTGAGAATTTTATTACCATAACCCAAACACAGGGACAGTGTTTGATGTATAGTAAACAGCTCAATAAATATTGTTGAGTGACTGCATAAAAGTATAAAAAATATGCATGGGAAGCATACATGTAAACCTCAGGAGAATGATTACCCTTACCACAGGGGAATGAAGGTGTGAGCGATTCAACACTAATTTATAGCATTTCAATTCATTAGTAAAGAGGAGCTAAAGCAAATAGGGCAAAATGTCAATATTTGATAAATATGGGTAGCGATTACATGGATGTTTGTTTCATGAGCCTGGACTACTTACTACACTAGCTTCTGTCATGTCTTATTTTTTGTCATTATTTAAATATTCCATATAAAAATGTACTAAGGAAAAAGAAAAAAAAACTAGTATGATCTGCTTGCTCATTGTTAGAACTCAGTCTATCCACTACGCTTTAGTTATGATACTAGCACCATAACACTTTGCTTCCCATCAATATGTATTACTTCATTAGACTACCTTGATAACTAACTACTTTAAATGATTAGGTTTGTAAGATAAACACCATTTTTTGCAAGCTTCTTATAGCACCAAGCTGAGAGTGGCACACTAACCTACTACTATGAGGCACTCAATTTAATGTCCGTGCTTGATGATTATATACTTAAAATTTTAACCCCATTTCAAATTTTTGGCCAATGGTGTTTTTAAGAAATATACCTGGTTAACAAAAATGTTATGTATTCCACACATAAATATATGTATAAATATAAAAAACCAGTTTTCAAAAATTTTCAACTATATATACACTAAAATGGGGACAGGAAATATTGTGTACTTTCTTAGGATCACTCAAATAATTTGAATAATTTTTACGTCTTTGAAGACTTAAGCCTCAAATGTACTACTGTTTCCTAGCTGCTTTCCATTCATGAATCCCAAGCAAAAATTTTTCAAGAAAAGTCAACAATGTTTCTTTCATCACAGTATAAAAGTCTCCTTCTACTTCTTGTAAATAAGTCAACCAATATGAAACAAATTTTAGCCCATGCCAGCATAACTCTGCAAAGTTATTATGACTTTAATGTCAAGTTTATGTTTCATTTGATTATTTCACATTCTTGATAAAATATAACAGAAAGCAAAAAATCCTCTTATGAAATACCCTTTCGGGGGAGATGATGGTGAAATGCCTTTTTAACGGTTCACTTAATTGAAACTACACTACATTGCTAGGGAGTACTAGTCTAAAAGAAAAGTGACTGATATACACGCTTTTCTTTCCCCTCTCCCCCCCATAAAATGAACTGGTTCCTGTTTTTAAAAGATAGTACTATAATAATATAGGTAATAATAAAAGGACATTATACTCAAACAGTAAAATCATGATTTTTTGAAACAGGAACAGAGATAGAACAAAAGACCTAATAAAGAGTAAGAACAACAAAGCTTAAATTGACAGAAGAAACTGAAAAAACTCAGATTGACAAATACTGTTAGAGCTTTCACAAGCGACTTGTGAACATGCATGAGATCAAGTAAAAGTGAATGGCTGACAGAGATAAACTGGTTTAAAAATAGAGAGCAAAACAAATCCTGAACTCAGCAGATGCAAAAAAGACAAC